ATGAGCAGAAAATATTGCGTAAAACATTTCAGAATTCATCCTACTGTTTTTGTCAGCAGTCACATCATCAATAAATACAAGAAAACCAGTTCATAAAGCCATGGATGCCCACGCCATGACACTACCACCATGCTTCACTGCTTAGGATGATGAGCAGTTCCTTTCCTTCTCCATACTCTTCTCTTCCCATCACTCTGGTACAAGTTGATCTTGATCATATCTGTCCATAGGATGTTGTTCCAGCACTGTGAAGACTTTTTTAGAACTCTAATCTAGCCTTGCTGTTTTTGAGGGTCACCAATGGTTTACCTCCTGTGGTGAACCCTCTGTATTCACTCTGGTGTAGTCTTCTCTTGATTGTTGACTCTCGCTGAGAGTGTTCTTCATCTGGCCATCGTATGTGAACCGTTTTTCTTCACCAGTCAAAGAATTCTTTGGTCGTCCACCACAGTTGTTTTCCATGGTCTTCCGGGTCTTTTGGTGTTGCTAATCTCACTGGTGCATTCTTTCTTTTTAAAAATGTTCCAAACTGTTGTTTTGGCCATGCCTGATGTTTTTGCTATTTCTCTGATGGGTTTGTTTTCAGCCTAATGATAGCTTGCTTGACTGAAAGTGACAGCTCTTTGGATCTCATCTTGAGAGTTGACAGTAACAGATTCCAGTGCAAATCGCACACTTGAAATGAACTTCGGACCTTTTATCTGCTCATTGTAATTGAGATGATGATAAATTTACACACTGGCCATGGAACAGCTTCAAAGCCAATTGTCCAATTACGCTTGGACCCTTAACAAGTGGGAGGCACATATGCAAACTGTTGTAATTCCTACAGCGTTCACCTGTTTTGGATGCCCTCAAATTAAAGCTGACAGTCTGCAGTTAAAGCACATATTGTCTGTTTAATTTCAAATGGATTTTGTTGGTATATTTAGCCAAAAATGTTAGAATTGTGTCGATGTCCTATTTTTTATGGATCTAACTGTATGTATGTATGTTAGATGTAAGTAGACTAAAATTTAACTCTTTTTGGAGTGAATGCCAGGTGTTACGTTTGGAGAAAACCAGACAAGACTAGTCATGATAAGGGAAAGATGAATGCAGCAATGTACAGAGATGTACAAAAAACCTGCTTCAGAGTTGACCTCAGACAAGGTCAACGGTTCATCCACCAGCAGGACCCAAAGCACACCGCCAAAATATCAATGGAGTGGCTTCACAACAACTCTGTGAATGTCCTTGAGTGGCCAAGCCAGAGCCCAGACCTGTTGAACATCTCATTGAACATCCCTGGAGAGATCTGAAAATGGCTGTACACCATCACTTTTCATCCAACCTGATAGAGCTGGAGAGGTACTGCGAAGAAGAATGGGCAAAAATTTCCAAAGACGAGTGAGCCAAGCTTAAGGCATCATATTAAAAAAGACTTGAGACTGTAATTGCTGCCAAAGGTGCATCAACAAAGTACCGAGCAAAGGCTGTCATTATGGGGTATTGTGTGTAGAATTTTGAGGAAATACAAGAATTTAATCCCTCTTGGAATAAGGCTGTAGCATAAAAAATATTACAAAGGTACCAGCTGTACTCCTTACTTCAAAAGCAGAGGACCATTTTTGAGTGCGTAAATCTTGCAGGCTCTTAATGTTTTATTACATCCCATACAAGATGTTACTTTTAGCCCACACTAGTGTCTGAACACCCACTCACAAAAGGAGAAATCTGGTCATTTGTGGTAAACATTTTGCCATTATAGTCAGTAACAGTTTTTAAGCACGCTATGAATTTCCTGCCTCTCTAAAGCAGTTTCCCACTTCTGATATTTGCTTTGAAATAAGTTTTGTAATAATTGTTGTAATAAGTGGTTGTTCTCTTTTATAATAACCAAAGCTTTCCAATTGCTCTTTTAATCTTTCGTTTTTTTTTCTTTTATAGTCATTTATCTCTTTATGACATGCAAAAATTTATTAGCTTTTTTAACAACAACAACAAAATCTGACTTTTCCCAGTTTTTCATTATCTGCTGATTACATCCACTCTTTTCTAATTTCGCTGCTAACCAGGGCCAGTAGGGGTGTGAACCTACACTGGTCTCATAGTTGGGTTCGGTTAGGAATATTATGTTGTAGATTTGGTACAATTCAAAATCTTAATGCATTACAGTGAAGGAAACATTACCTCACGGACAGCCTAATGGCCCACACAAAAAGAGAGAGGTGAAGCTTCACTTTTTAAGTAGTTAGAGCATTTTAATTACTGGACATCAAAGAAGCAATTAATTTTGACATCCCCAAGGGCCAGTATGTCAATTTTGAAGTCAAACTGATTTTGGCTTTTGGTTACTTTACTATCTTAACCCAGGATGTGCATGTTGTATGGGCCCTTTTCACAAGACTGTTACAATGTGTCATCATAATCTTAAATCGTTGAATATTTTTAATATTTTGATAAAAAAAGTATGAACTTTTATGTGCATTCATGAATGTATTACTGTATATAATCTTTGCATCAAATTACAAAAATGAACTACCAATTTTGTGAGGTGTTCCTAATGCAGTGTCTATAGAGCTGAGAATACATTTGATGTTATTCTCTCCTTTGGCTGCTGTTATCAATCTCGCACAATTTTTTTTTCTCTTTTCTGAAAGTCTTTATAACACCATCGTGGAGTTTTACTTTCATTAGTTCAGCAAATAGGGTTATAAAAAAATATTTGTTGTACTCTCCCATTTAACGTGCTCTAAGTTTACCCAGCTATGCCACCTTTCGCTATTGAGAAACTCGGAAAGAGTCAATTGTCTATTGTATGTTCTACTGTATGCTGAAGCCCAAATGAAAAAGTTGTTAACTGTGTCAACGGTCATCTATATTTGCAGCTAATGTTGTAAAAAGAGTTGCCCACTAATCGTTGACAAACTGTTAGTTGCCAACAACAAGTAAAATATTACTAATTGCCTAGTCGCAAATCTTTTTTTTTTTCTTGCATGATACTGTATATTGACATAAATCACACTACTCAAGACATGTTGTGTGGTAACAGGACATGTAAATGCTCACTTATCATTTATAAATGAACTTTACATGGCTAGAAAATAAGTGTCTGTGCAGTGTGGAAGTTGAACAGTAAGTGTGTGAACCTGTACTCTCACGGTTCAGTTTGTTTAGGATTATCATGTCATTAATTTAGTTTAGTTCAATTTGATATCACACTGAATTCACAATGTTTTCCATATACATTTTTTAATTTAATTCACAAGAATACAATTTTGTCTTTTTAATACAAGAGTCAGATATATGAACTAAATCTTTAATACAAGCCAGAAATGGAGACCACACGGCCAAGCCTGTGTATTTCACACTTTTCAAATAATTCCTGGCTATGTGATGGAAATTTTGACACGTAAGCATGCTTTATGTTTTCTTGTGCACACATGATTTTTTTTTCTGTGCTCAAGAGAAACATATGTTGTGCACATGAGTCTTTTTTTTCAGTGATCCATACGTTTCCTCAGTTAAAAAAATATTGTTTTCATCACTTATTTATATTTCCTATTTGCTTACCACATATCATCTGCACTATCACAATATCTTTCCTTTAAATTACAAACTCTTTTTCGATATCTACTGTGACATCAATCCTGTGTATGAAGCACAGAGTTAAATGCAAATGCAACTTTTGTTTTGTAGCTTATGTAACTCCATGGAAAATAAATGTACATTTATGTAAAATGTATATATATTAGTTATCTATGGGTTGTTGACATGGCATTGCATTCTTACTGTCACACATGGCAAAGATGCATTTAATTATGTCATTTATTGTAGTAAATAGTTAAAAATTATAGGTGGGCATAGATTATTTTTGTAATCTAGATTAATCTCACTGCAATCTTGGAATTAATACAGAATAATCTAGATTAAAATGGCTCATTTGAGTTCTGCCAAAGGCAGTCAAAATATGAGTGCTACCCAAATAATAAGTCTTTGAGAACTGGTTTCTCAAGCCAGGTGGAGCATTAGACCAGGGGTTCATCTCCGGTTTCCAAAATGCATCACAAACTGCTTGATAAACTGTTCTACTATGATAACTGGTGATGAAAATAAATTATGTTCAATAAGATGTACTTTATTCAGTTAAACATGAATGAGAAAATGAGTAATTTTTTTATTACCTTAATCCGACGAAACTCATAACTGAACTAAACAGAAATGGAATTATTTAAATGAAATAATTTATTTAATTTAAATTATTTTAAATAATTTAAATAATTTTAAATAATTTGCAAACACCAGAAACACTGCATACTGCACTGCACATCTCCACACATACCGTGTTGTTAGGACACGTGGTTACAATGTAACCTGGCTACCTAATGTTTACGTTTGTAATATTTATATTATTTGCTAATTAATAACCGCATTTGGAACTCTGAATCTGCTTGTCATTTTGGAGGCTGCTGCTGTCCACCAGAGGTTGTATTTCAGTCACAGACGCATGCTTTTAGAGCCTTTCTGAATGAATAAAGGATTTAATCAATGAAATATGCTGTTTTCCACCAAGGTAACCCGGAATGCTGAAATATAATTGGCTAAAGTGGCATTAGGCTGGTTAAATAAACCAAAACAAAGACTAATTAGAATATCTGACTTTAGCATTGTTTTTCAGATGAACAAGAATTTTCACTGGGCATGTTTCTTAAATATCGGCAAACATGTGTTTTTTATGCTTTAGAAGAGTCATAAACTTACATACAGCACCTTTAACCTTTTTTTAAAACCACTATAAAAATAAGTTTTGTTGTCCTTTTGTGTGACATGCTATTTTTTGAAAATGTCAGACAAGTCGATATTATTTAGAATTTCATATAAAATAATAGCACTGTATGAAGATATGTGTTCAAAAACTTTTTCAAGCTAATAAAAAAGCTAATTTAAAGCAAATTTTGTCATGTCATACCATGGGACATTTCTAAAGTACAATTCAGTTAAAACATTAAACACCAAAGTACACAAATATAATACATTTATTTACCTCAAAAATAAAAAATAAAAGAGTGGTTTACAAATAACACAAAATATTTTTTACTGCATATTTGCCAACTACCCATATATTACTTCACTATACACTTTCTATACATTGTCAGTTTAATAACTACTTGCACACAATCTATCACTTTTGTATGCGCTGATTGTGGCAACTCTTTGTAATTAAAACACTGTTATTTGTTAGCAGAGAACATTAGTTGTAACCAAAGTATTTAATAAATAAACATTCTGCAGAAATTTCATTAGCATTTTCTTAACACAGATTCCATGCATTTATACTGATATTCACCATGCTTTGATCTCTAGATATATACTAAAAGACCACAAAGACATTGTGGGCAGCATAAAGTTTCTTATAATGCAGGATGGTTGTTGGTTCAAGTTCCTGTTTTACCAGGAGGTCCTATGAAATCAATCTAGGGCCATTTATACTTGCAAAATAAAATAACGTTTTGCAAACAAAAAAATAAAGAATTGAGCAATAAATAAATAAAAAAATGAATAAATGCAAATTTCTAAAAAGCGAAAATAAATATCTGAGAATTAAAAATTATTTTTGCTAACAAAAATAAAGAACTGCAAAGGAAAAAAATAAGTTTTGAGAAATAAAAATTAAATTTGCAAACCAAAAAAGAACTGCATTTGCATTAAAAAAACTATAGATTTTCAAAACATTTTTTATATCATTGCCTTTACAAAACCCATCCAGTCAATTGCAGTGCTCATTTAGATTTGCTTTTTAGTCAACTGTGAGTTTGTGATGCTGTTTTCACTTAGCATTTTACATTTCTGCGCATTTTACTTTGTGGCTCTGATTTGACAAGGGGGCAGTGTCAAAATTTAGGAACTTCTCTCGTGTGCCTCTGCTCAGCCATGCTTCTGCTTTTTCTTCTTTCAAAGTTTTTTGGTGGTTGGCAAGTAAATGATGACCTCACTTTAATGGAGGCAGGTCTGGGGCCACCATAAATGGCCAAGTTCGATTGACTCCACCCTCTTGTCAAATCAGGGCCACATAGTGAAAAGTGCAGAAACGTGAAGTGCAAAGTGAAAACAGCATTACAAACTCACTATTGACTAAAAGGCAAATCAAAATGAGCATCGCAATTGACTGGACAGGTTTTTGTAAAGGCAATGCTACAAAAATAAAACCCAATAAGTTAAGGTAACTCAAACCGTTTGAGGAAACTGATTGCAACAAACCGTTTAAGTTCAAAATCTAATCCTAATGAGAACGGCGAAGTTAATTCATTTGAGTAAATGAAGCAAATTGAGCACAGTAAAACAGTTTGAGGAAACTGATTGCAACAAACCATTTGAATTAAAAAAAAAGGATTCTACATGAGTACTGTGAACTTACTCAATTAAATAGCTCATCACTTCAACTTAAATTAACTCATTACCTTCAACAGAGAAGAGTTCAAAACTCTTGATGAGTAGAATAAATTTTCACTCAATTTTGAGTTAACTACACTCTTTTCATTTGATAAAATGATAAAATGTTGGGTTTTACAGTGTATAATTTTTTTTCATAATTGTAGTTATTTATTTATTTTTTTTGCATTGCGTGAGTTTATTTATTTTTTGCAGTTCTTTTTTGTTTGCAACTTTCATTTTTATTTCTGAAAACTGAATTTTCCCTTTGCATTTTATTTTTGTTAACAAAATAAATTTTTATTTCTCAAAAATTATTTTTCGCTTTGGGATTTTTGGAGATTTGCATTTATTTATTTATTTTTAGCTCAAAACTTTATTTTTTGTTAGCAAAACTTTATTTTATTTAGCAAAAATATATGGCCCTAGATTGACTCCAAAGACGTATTTCTTTGTGGAGTATGCATGGTCTCCCCATGCCTGCTTGGTTTTCCTTTGCGTGCGCTGGTTTACCCAGCTGTCCAAAAACGTGCGATATAGCTGAATTAGAAAAAAATAAATAAAATAAAAAATTGTCCATTGTGTGTGAATAGGAGTTGTGAGTGTGGGAGAGTGTGTGGAGGTTGCAGCTAGAAGGGCATCCGCTGTGTAAAACAATTGCCAGACTAATTAGCGATTCATTCCGCTTTGGCCACCCTTGATAATAGCAGGAAATTGAGTAAGTGAGTGAGTGAGTAAGAGTGAGCTCAAGTACAAATTATATACACTTTGTTGAGTACTTTCATATTAAGGTTAAGAATAATGTACCTGCAGCTCTAGAATAAATGGCTAAATAAACGGAAGAAAAATTGAATATAAGCCTTGGAGAGAAATACTGTGATAAGACACAAGAACAAAGATGAAACTCTCTAGTGTGTGTTGTGCGCCTGTTTTTGCACTGGCTGTCAAATAGCGTTTATAATGAAAGGTTATGTATTTGGCATACAAACATTCTAATACTTTGAACTTAATGAGCGTTATACATGACTGCGTATGTTGGTGTTTTTATGCACATGTTTTGCATGTCATATGGTAAATGTGCTTGTGTCTTCATTGCCTGAAGAAGAGTTAGTGTGAGTTTGTGTGGCTGACTTCAGGGAGATCTCAATGGCCGGCTGCTCGTTGCCATGGCGGTACCCTCTTCCAGTCTGGCTCCAATGCTTGGCAAGTTTTATAATGTGCATTTTGAAGGACGATCCGATAAAGACGTAGAGCACAGGATTCAGGCAGCAATGCGTAAGGGCCAGACTCTCTGTGATTTGATTTGCCAGGTCCAGATTTTTGCTAACGTCACATTCTGTCACTAAAATATAGATCACATCTAGGGTTTTGATCAGTTTTACCACGTTATAAGGTAGCTGGGTCAACAGAAACACTCCTACTACTGCTATCAACACCCGAAATGCCCGCCATCTTCTCCCACCATGTACTCCTGCAGTAGCTGCCTGGCTTAACGCAACTCCAACCCGGCAGTAGCAAAACATCATGACCAGGAAAGGCAGAATAAAGCTTAGAGACACTTCCAGAATTTCCAGAGTTGCCTTAGCTGCCCTTGCCATGCTATGTGGGTAAACTGCCCGACAAGTGTATCGTTCGCTAGAATGCTGAACCCTCACCGTATAGAATACCATATCTGGCAACCCTAGCACAATGGCAATCCCCCAAACCACGAGGCACATGATTATCCTGTGCTTGCGGCTGTTATTCCTGGCTGGGGTATGGGCAGAGCCTTTGGCTAATGCACGATACCGGTCTATGCTAATACACGAAAGTAGCAGCATACTGCAGCTAAAGTTGGTGGTGTAGAGTGCTGAGGTTATCTTGCAGGCAGCTGTGCCGATCTGCCAGCCGTTCACTGCATCTGCAGCCCAGAAGGGCAGCGTGAAGAGCAGGAGTAGGTCTGCAAAGGCCAGGTTAAGAATGAAGACATCTGTTAGGGTCCGTAAGCGCTTGTGGGAAAGGTAAATGAAAACAACCAATGAATTTCCGGCCAGGCCCAGAACCAGTGCTAATGTGTAGATGACTGGCAAGAAGACCCCAGCAAAGGACCGAACCTCTTGTTTGTCGCAAACTGTGTGGAGGTCTCCAAAATAATCTTCATCATAGGCACTGTCGTTGGAATCATTGTCATGATCGTGGTATTGGTAGTCATGTTCATATTCCAAGAGGACGCCCATCGTTATCTAAAGAGAAAGGGAGAGAGTACACAAAGTGTATAAAATGAAAATGGTTGGTGATATTAACGTCTCGTTTGTGGCACATTAGTATATGTGAGGGGGCAAACTTTTCAAGATGGGTGATGACTATGGCGACCATTTTGAAGTCGGCCACCTTGGATCCAACTTTTGATTTTTCAATAAGAAGAGGGTCATTTGACACAACAAACTTATTGGGAATTTCACAAGATAAACAATGTTGTGCTTGGTATTAACGTAACTTTATTCTTACATGAGTTATTTACAAGTTTTTGACCACTTATAAAATGTGTTCAATGTGCTGCCCATTGTGTTGGATTGTCAATGCAATCCTCTTCTCCCACTCTTCACAAACTGATAGCAACACCGCAGGAGAAATGCCAGCACAGGCTTCCAGTATCTGTAGTTTCAGGTGCTGCACATCTTGTATCTTCACACCATAGACATTCTTCATCAGTGGAAACCTCAGGGCCACTGGATATTTGAAATTGCTCCATGATGATGTGTTTCCCTCTTTATGCACTGAAGCTAGCACATTCTCTAAGTTTTCTCAGCAAGATGGTGAACCACCACATTATGGGTGTCAGGTCCGAGTATTCCAAGATCAACAGTTTCCTGAAAAGTGGATTGGTCATCGTGGGCCAGTTGAATGGCCCCAAGGTCTCCCGATCTGACCCCCTTAGACTTTTATCTTTGGGGTCATCTAAAGGCAAATGTCTATGGTGTGAAACTACGAATACTGGAAGCCTGTGCTGGCATTTCTCCTGTGGTGTTGCTATCAGTGTGTGATGAGTGGGTTGTATTGACAATCCAACACATTGGGCAGGACATTGAACACATTTTATAAGTGGTCACGTTAAAACCTAGCACACTATTATTTTTCTTGTGAAATTCTCAATATGTTTGATGGGTCAAATGACCCTCTTCCTCTTTCAAAATGGCCACCATGGTCACCACCCATCTCCCATCGAAAAGTTTGCTCCCTCACGTATACTAATGTGCCACAAACAGGATGTTAATATTACCAACCATTGCCATTTTATTAAGGTGTATTGATATAAATGGCCCACCCTGTATATACAGTTTAAGTCAGAATTATTAGCCCTCTTTGATTTTTTTTTTCTTCTTTTTAAAAATAATTTCCAAATGATGTTTAACCGAGCAAGGTAATTTTCACAGTATGTCTGATAGTATTTTTTTCCTCTGGAAAAAAGTCTTATTTGTTTTATTTTCAGCTAAAATAAAAGCAGTTTTTAATTTTTAAACACCATTTTAGGGACAAAATTATTAGCCCCTTTTAGCTATAGTTTTAATAGTCTACAGAACCAACCATCATTGTACAATAACTTGCCTAATTACCCTAACCTGCCTAGTTAACCTAATTAACCTAGTTAAGCCTTTAATTGTCACTTTAAGCTGTATAAAAGTGTCTTGAAAAATATGTAGTAAAATATAATTTACTGTCATCATGGCAAAGATAAAATAAATCCATTATTAGAAATGAGTTATAAAAATTTTTATGTTTAGAAATGAGTTTAAAAAAAATCTTCTCTCCGTTAAACAGAAATTGGGGAAAAAATAAACAAGCGGCTTATTGAATCAGGGGGGCTAATAATTCTGACCTCAACTGTATATGAGGGTTTAGAATTTTTGATAATTGTTAGAAACAGACGAGGAATCTAAAAGCAGAAGGAGTGAAACATTTTCATGTAAATTATATATTTTTTTCTGCAATTTGGCTATAGTAAATGATAAGCACTTTTGTTAGGCTGACTCTGAAACATTCTGTGCTTTACTTACAAGAGTCTTAAACTCATTGTCTGGCAATTTCACTCACTGGCAATTTGTAAGAGGGCCATTTTCACATTCAGTCACACAGCTGCTGAAATATATATTTGCTATTATATGGCCATATATTTGACACATACTCTGCAATTTTCCACAAAGTATGGAGGATAAACTAGTTTTTCATGTAGCTGATCATAAATTCTGTCTTTTTTAATGAAAAAAAGGCCAAAAAGTTTTAGCAAGCCTATAGCTTGACATAAATTTGACAGGTGCTCTGCGCTAGAAATGCACAATATTTTTTTTAAGAACAAAAATGATGTTATATTCAAATTCAATTAACATTAATGTTTAATTCAACCAGCTTAAATGAGTTTTACAAATGCATATAGTTGTGGTTATACAAATCTTAAAACACACAATAAAAATCTGTTGAGACACAATATTTTTGTTATTTGTTACAATTTTTGTTAGCATTATGTGTCAGCTTTCCCAGAGGTGGGTTGCAGCTGGAAGGGTAAACGTGCTAGCTAAGTTGGCGGTTCATATAAAGGGACTAAGCTGAAAATTAAATGAATGAATGAATGAATTATGTGTTAGCTATAAAGAACAAGCAGGAAATGGCACATAAGCCGGCAGTTTGAGACCCCTGACTTACAACATATATATATATATATATATATATATATATATATATATATATATATATATATATATATATATATATAGACAAGTGCAATTCTTTTTTTTCTTTTAAAGACAAGTGCTCATGTAATTGTATATGCCTGGTTTGATGATCAATGTACACTACCGGTCAAAAGTTTGAGGGATGTTTTAAAATAATCTTATCCTGCTCACCAAGGCTGCATTTATTTAATCAAAAATACTGTACAAATTCTAAATGTGTGACTAATACTGTTCAAAAGTAGTTTACAGTTTAATTTAATAATTTATTCCAGTGATTTTAAAGATTATATTTCAACTTCAATGCTCCAGTCTTCAGAGTCATTTGATCCTTTAAAAATCAATTTAATATCAATAATAATTATTCCTATTACTATTATTATTATATTATTATTAATGGTAATAGTAATAAAAGCAATAATGACCTAACTAATAATTTCATTTGAAACTACATACAATAAGAAAGCAGTTTTTTAAATTGTAATAGATATTTAATAATTTAACATTTTTTTTTAATATTTAATAAATTCCACCTTTATGACCAGAATGAATAGAAAAAAAAAAAAAAACTGACCCCAAACTTTTGGTCGGTAGTGTATTTTTTTTTTATGTCCAGGGATCAATGCACCTAATAAAAATAGCAAGCACTTCATTAATTAGTGCTACTGCTGAAAAGTTTTCTCAGTGTAAGTAAAATAATAAAATGAATAAATAGAGATCAAACTATTCATGTATGTTTTCAAATAGAATCACTTTAAACATCCTTTAAAATGTAACTACTTCAACTTCAAATGGGCTCTTTCATTCTTTTCTAAATACATTTTTCAAAATGTTTTATTTTAAAACCTTAAAAAATGTAATATTGTTTGTTAAATTTATCTTCTATATATTGTAAAATGTTGTTTAGGGACATATAATTTTATTGTCAGATCAATAAAAGTCTATAATGAACATCATAATGATGTTAAACTGATTACATATTATATGTATGTGCTGGCTTTATATTCTAAAGCACTATTTAATTTGATCTTCATCTCAATTTGTCAGGTTAGCTTTGTTTTGACTTTCTCATCCATTTTTCTGCAGCAAAAATCACCCTTCTAATTTCTTCCATACCGTCATTCCTGCTCAGAGCTTGAGGTCATACACAGCACAGGAGGAATCGACATTTGACTAAAACTCCTTGCACGTCTGTGTGTCTGGCTAGCAATATCCAAGCAGTTTGCTATTCTGTTATTCATTTCTACATACAGTATACAGTAGCTCATGAAAGCATATAAATAATGGTGTATGTGGAGCTTTGTTGCACTTGAGCTTTGAACATCTTGTAAATAAATTAGCTTGTATGAACTGGTGGAGAGTTTATTTAACCTTGAGCTCTTTCAGGTCTTAGAAACGCTCTCGGTTTGGCTGATTATGCCAGAACTACAAATGCATGACTTTTACCAGCTGCTCGTCTGGGGTTGCACAAAACACTGAATATACCTGCCAATGTGTTAGACACATGCCATTTAAATAGCAGTGCTGGGTGGAGTACATCATGTGTATCTTGGTGATAAGGAAATCACATGTTGTCAAATGAATAGTTTCATCTTATCCCATGCTTTTTGCAGGTGTTATTTATTAATTCTATTAAATTTTTAATTATATATTCATTGTTTTAAGATGACCGTAGCTATTCACATGAAGTGGCAGGGGAAGTGGGGGATTGAAATGGTATGACAGTCAGGATTTGAAATCAGGATGTTTGCATCATCGTTGCATTTATATGTCAGGCTAATCTCTTAAATTCACCACACTGTAAAACCCAGCAGTCAACTTTATCAAATGAAATGAGTGTAGCCAACTTGTACTGGAAGTTAATTCTACTCATTTGAAAAGGGTTTTGAACTCAGTGTTAAAGGTAATAGGTTATTTAAATACCTCATTACTTCGACTTAAATGGAGTAAGTTCACAGTACTCATATAGATTAGTTTTTTTAGCTCAAATGGCTTGTCGCAATCAGTTTTCTCAAAAAGTTTAAGTTGCCTTAACTAATTGGGTTTTACAGAACTCAGTTGGTTTGAGTTCTTAAATTGCTTAAATTGCTTTATTTACTCAAACAGATTCGTTTTTGAACTTAAATGGTTTGTTGCAATCGGTTTCCTCAAATATTTTGAGTTACCTTAACCTTTTGCGTTTTACAGTGCAGAGAAAATTAGTACAGCACCCTAAACTGTGCACAGTCTGTGTTTGGTATGTTAAATATCATCTTGTGGATTTATTTTCTGCTCTAATGTACCTTTTATTGGAGATGCAAAACTGTACTAAACATATAAACTTCTTATGGTAACCATTTACAAGTTGACCACAAAAGCATTTTTATAACTAGTTACAAGCATTCATTTGCATTAGCACATATTTGAGAATTTGAGAAAATATCAAATGTTGGCATGTAGTTTGCAAATGTTGCAGTTGAACACATGACATATTTAGCGTTAATTCAGTATTATTAATCACGTGAAATAGGTGATCTATTGTTCTTATTCTTTAATCCACAACGGCGTTTCTGTTGTTGTGTTGTATTATCTATTTTGGAGCTTGGTGTATGTTACTCTTTTGTTTATCCTGTCAGTTTATCAAAACACAGGTAAACTCTCATTCCATTGTGCTTACTCACTTGCATAGAGAAACAAGTTGCAAACACATCTTTCACAGCCGGGTTTTATAATGTGTTGCCAAAATCTAAAATGGTCTGTCACTGTTTATTTTGAACTTTACCTTCCTAGTCATAAACCATTTTGAGTGATCAGGACCTTGCCTTGATTTACATGACAGCAAACTTCAAGTTGAATACATCACATGTTTAAAAAGTCTGAAAACTGACATCTAAATCACACTAAATTTCAGTTACCATAACTCAACATCTGTTGTACCTTTTGTTGAGTGTTTTTGTTTGAAGTATTCTTAATTCTGTTTACTAATGGCTGTTCTCTACAATCACTCTCACGATTGTCGCCTCTGTTGTTGTTACATTTAAGCAGTCATATTAAAACCTTTCATTTTGAGCAGCCAGCAGGTTTAATTGGAATTTAACTGTGAAATTCAGCTGTGTTTCTTACCTGTTTGTGATGTGACACTCCGTTCAGGAAAGAGCTGTCTGCAGTCCAGAGAAGTGAAGCACTCTGTTGGTTATTGCCGCTGGGGCAAGAGGACATTCAGGGGTGTGTGTTTGTGTGTGCGTGCGTGCGTCAGAGGAAGAGATTTAGAAGGAGAGCATTAGGCAAAAGAAAGAATGTTCACCTCCAGCAGAAACTGAATTTTTGAAATTCCAGTATATTGTGTTAATTGTGCGATATAATAATGGATGAGAGCTCTTATATTTAAAAAGATCGCTTTTTTACTACTTTTAGCAGAGTTTGTTCAGGTGCTGGAAATCCTTGAAAATGCTTGATTTTAAGTTTTGGAAAGTGATTTTGGACAAACTGCTTGAAACTGATTGAAAATGTAAAAAGGTAATTGTATTTTTCGTACTACTTGTACAACTTTCGTACTAATTGTGTTAATAACTTTTAAAAGAGAATACAACATTTGAGTGAACAATGTATGAAATTAAAATATATATAAATTTAAGATGAAAAATTTAAGATTACAAAGAGAGTTAATAACAGCAATACAATTTTGTGCATGGCACAGTCATTCTTAGATTAATATATTATATATTAGAATATGTTAGAATAATATACATGATATAGTGTGACTTAAGTAAAGATAGTTATGTAAAATATGTAATTTGCTGGGAAAGTTTGAAAATGCACCTGCAAAGTGCTTGAAAAGAGCTTGAATTTGATTTGGTGTAAGAATCCTGTTTTTAGCCTACATATGGTCCTTGTTTATTAAAAGTATATATTTTTTTTAAAAACCTTTTAATCAAAAACCTTTGATTAATTAGAAATATATACAAGTACATCCCTCACATATTTTTTAATTCACATTTTTATAAGAAGCTATACATTACATTTGTGCATATACATTAGATTAGTCAGTACTGAAGCCAAATCTGGAGCATATCTAACAAAATAGCTTACAATAACGATCCAAAAATGAGTACACACAAATGTGTATGTTATAGAAAAATATTAAATGCAAATTTAAAAAGGAGGAAAAATCAAGAGAAGCAAAAGAAAAAAAGAATTGTTGAAATTTTGTTGGTTGTAATTTGTAATATTTAGAATTTTTGTTGTATTTTAATTGTATTATCTATTAATTTCTAAATATATTTGGTGACTTAAATAATATTTAATATATACAGTCTAAGTCAGAATTATTACCTTTGATTTTTTTTTTTTTTTTTGAATATTTCTTAAATGATGTTTAACAGAGCAAGGAACTTTTCACAGTATGTCTGATAATATTTTTTTCTTCTGGAGAAAGTCTTATTTGTTTTATTTTGGCGAGAAGAAAAGCAGTTTTAATAATAATAATAATAATGATAATACTACTACTACTAATAATAATAATAATAATAATAATAATAAACATTTTAAGGTAAAAATTATTAGCCCCTTTAAAGTTTTTTTTATTTTAATAGTCTATAGAACAAACCATCATTATACTATAATGTGCCTAATTACCCTAACCTGCTTAGTTAACCTAATTAACCTAGTTCATCCTTCAAATGTTACTTTAAGCTGTATAGAAGTATCTTGAAAAATATTTATTAAAAATATTATTTACTGTCATCATGGCAAAGATAAAATTAATCAATTATTAAAAAATGAGTTATTAAAACTATTAGGTTTAGAAACAAAAATAATAAATGGAATGTAATAATTGTATTTTTTTTTTTAAGTAAACCGGATGACTTGAATTTTTATTATGAGAATGTCATTACAAAAAATTAAGCACAAGGATAAGAACATGGAATAAGCTCTTGTAAAATGGAAAACATTACTAAAAATAATCATTAACAGCGAGTTCCATTTACTCGGATTTCACACTTCAATGTGATTTAGAAAAAAGGATGTTGATGCAATAAAAAGGATTTATGCAGACAAATCATAAATGGATCAAGTAAACTACAGCTGTTTTATATTTATGTAGGTTGTAATTAGCCCTCACTTCTAAGAAAAAGAATAAAAGCCAAGTTCTGGAGCTTAAGCTGAACCATTTTCTAAACCTAGTTGATGCAATCAAGCATCATGAGTCATTAACATTGGTCTTGTAACTGCTCTTTAGTGCAACCATTTAATTTGTTTGTCTGGGATTTTTTTAAATAACTTTTTTTTTTCATTTTACCGTGAAGGAGAAATAAACAGGTTCTTGTCTGATTGGTGAAATTCTTTCTAGTAGATACTATGTACAAATCCTGTTATTTGATAGAGCACAGCATTCCAACGGCACCGCAAGTTTGTTTGTTTGATAAAGACTGGTCTTTATGGAATGCACCATGGAACTTACTGTCGCACGTTTGGCTGCATGCACAGGGACAACTTGCAGACATGAAAGAACAAGCCCTTTATATCACACCCTTAGAAACACAAGCTGTGTTTTCATTACAATACTGTAATTACTAAAGTAAGGGCAGTTGGTAGCACAAACATACACACCCACGCACAAAAACACAAACTGTACAGACTAGTGAGTAACTCTTCCTTAGGAAAAACAATATTCTTTCCAGAAATTGTATGGGTGTGTGTGTGTGTGTGTGTGTTTGTGAGAATCATGTGTGCATGTCAGTTCTGTAAGGAATTGTGGATTCTTTGTCTTGTCAATTGGCACAGAAGTACGTATCACAGTGTGTGCAGATGGGAGATTGCCTAATTCTGCATGTTTACATCATTCTGGTGTTAAACTAGTTGTGCATTTCTTTTACTTTATAAGCAAGCAACAATTATTTATTTGTTTGTTTATTTGTAAATTATGCATTATGGAAATATATACATTTCCAGAATCTAAACATTTGATTAAAACCAGGTTTAAAATGAATATTTTGTTAATATAGATACTTGCAACTGAAAAGACACAGGGATTGTCATTACAGTTAAATGCCTAAAAGCAATAATGAGGACAACCTGTTGAAGATGTTTTCGTTGCCAGGAAAGCAAAACCAGACTCCACTAAAATCTGTGGAACCACAGGAAATCTAAAGAACTCCCAGTTAGAGACATCTTAAAGAAAAACTATTGGAAGGTTTTTGTTTTTTTTTACTTCTTTTGGCACAGATGAAAGCATTCCCATCACTTCATACATTTTTTCATTACCTTTCTGGAGCTGTCAGTGGAGAGGCAGAAGTCTCTCAAATTTGAATAAAAATATATTTTTTGTTTATATTTACGTATATCTGTCCCCGTTTTTTTCCAGCGCATTTCTCAACATGGTTTTAATAAGTGATTTCTAATAACATGATTTACTGAAAGTGCATAATATTTTACTAGATCATTTTCAAGATACCAGTATTCTGTTTAAATTGTAATTTAGGGTGCTTTCACACCTGTGGATTGATTCTTTTGTGCCTAAACAGGAATTAAAATTGTTGCAATGTTGCACTTTGTTCTTGGTGGGGTTTGCCTTCACAAGGCAAAGTTTCTAAACAGACCAAAATAGCAAAAGCAAATCATGTGCGAGGAAACTCTCTGCACATTGGTCATAGTTTCATGGTTTATTTTGCATCCTTATTTTAATTTATGACGATGAGCAATAAGACATTATAAGCGAAAAGGTGCATTTTAATTTTGAATGGTGACACCCACAGATGTGACACCCACTACATAACTAAAAATAAATCAGAGGTAAAACTTTGTCATACATAGCCATTGGCTATAATGCATTATAGACTTTGCATTGTATAACGAAATAACAGATAAACCAAGACTGCTGTTTAGTCAATTTTCCTAACGAATAAACAGCTCTCATTAATCATTAATAAATTCACTTTCGTATTTGACATAAAACGCACATTTACCCGTAGGAATGACATCCCGCCTTACTCATAATTCTCTCTTCATATAGCCATATATGCTTATTGCAAATTCATACTACACATTTTTCACTATAATCCATCCGTTCCAGAGCTCATTTTAAATCGAGCCAAGACCACCTCATTTAGGCGATTTTGGACCAATTGTTTTTATGCAGATCCAAGCATGATTGCGGGTTGCACATATTTGCCAAACCAATCGCGCTAACTAGGGAAATGCGCTAGGTTCTGAAAAAAAGCCTAGGGGCTTTATTTTGACGGTCCATGTGCAAAATCCGAAGCGCAGGGCGCAAACGCATTCAGGGCGTGTCATAATCCATACTTTCTATCATAAGGACAGGAAAATCTGCTTTTCGCTGTGGCACATGGTCTAAAAGGGTTGGGTTTATTTTCTTAATGAGTTATAGGTGTGTTTTGAGAATAAACCAATCAGAGTCTCATCTCCCATTACCTTTAAGAGCCAGCTGCGTCGTGCCATAAGCGCATTTGCTATTTACAGAACGTAAAGTAAGTTTCGCTTTTGCTCTCGGGGATAGGGAAACCTTAACGCACTGACAACAATTAGCCTATAAATAATAAATTTCCTTTGTTAAGCTTAAAGATTTGTTTCAAAATTATTTTTAAATTCAGTTCTAATTTCCAGCAAACGAATAAATGAACAATAATAAAGAAGTGAGGTCAAAATACTGAGTTATTTCCAAATACACCTGCCATGACCAATATGGTCTAAAACCTGACAGGTGGACAAATCTAAGCTTGTTTTTAATAAAACAAATATAAATATGGATATAATAAATAATACTGCTAATAATAATAACATTATACAAAAGCAAATTGAATTAACTGAAAAAGCCTCTCGAAATGAAGAAAGTATGAAGGCAGGGGTTTTTAAATTCATGTAGTCTAGAAATTAATATGTTAATATTTTAATCATTTATATTTATATCCTATATATATATATATATATATATATATATATATATATATATATATATATATATATATATATATATATATATATAATAAGCGCAAATGCATTTGCTATTTAAACAGCGTGGCACAATGCCTTAAAATGACCCTTGCGGCGAGCTGAAAGTAGCAAATAACAATTGAGTTGCGCATTGCGCCACATTGCGCCGGGTGTAAGATAGGGCCCTAGGTGTTAAAGCATCCTAAGATGACTAATATTATACTTAGTCTTTTATTCTGGCCAAAATAAACAGGGTCCTATGTCCATATAAATCTACCCAATCTGTCTGACACCCAATCACCTGTAATCCATCTCAAATTATTATATTATTTTTAATATAACTTCTTTATTGCAAAGAGATACAATTCACAACAGCTCTTAGACATTTTACAGCATATTTGCCCAATTAAATTCCCTAATCAAAGAAAGAAAACTAAAGCAACACATCCCTATACATTATAGGTCTTAATCTGAATTCCTGCTGGGCCGCAGCTCTACACAGTTTTGCGCCAACCCTAATTAAACACAGCTGATCCAACTAATCAAGGTGATCAAGACTACTAGAGACTATTAAGCAGATGTGAGTCGGTGATTGAAGCAAAACTGTGCAGAGCTGCAGCCCTCCAGAAATGTAGTTTGAGACCACTGCTGTACATAATCTTCCACTAATGCAAAAGCTATTTACTAATGTAACTGGGCCATTAGAAAAATAATCTTAGTGTTTAGCCCTGTATACAGTCTTGAATTTCATTGATATTGGTCTTAAAACAGTCTTAAAAAGTCTTATTTTTGCTTTGCAGAAACCCCGATAAAACAAATAAGATTTTCTCCTAAAGAAAAAAATATTATGATTTTTTTTGCTCTTTTCTTTTTTATTATTTATTTATTTATTTATTTATTTATTTATTTATTTATTTAATATAAATATTTTTAAAAAGACAAAGAAAATAAAGAAATTCACAGGAGGATCACAGGAAATAACAAGTAATCAATCATATACTGTCATCATGGCAGACCAAAGAAAATATATTAGTTATTAGATATTAGTTATTAAAACAATTGTCTAAAAATGTAAAAAAAATCTTCCCTAATATTTGTGTGTTAAACTGTGTAAAAATATTTACCTGTGTATGTGCATATGTGTATGATTAGGATAATTTTAAAGCACATTTAAATAGCAGTTAAATGTGTATGTGCTTAGGTGCATTCTCCTCATTCTTTTCATGATTTATATAACATATGTGCACAGCTTTGGTTGACCCCTGTCTGTGTATGGTTTTGCACAATGTCGCTTGTTTATGTTTTTCAAAGCACAATATATATATATATATATAAAGAGAGAGAGAGAGAGAGAGAGAGAGAGAGAGAGAGAGAGATTTTTTGTATTTGAACTCAATGTGTATACAACAAATAATGCACAATGTTGCACTATTTTGCCTGCAGCCTCCTATCAGGGACAACACCTACATATACACACTTCACTGAGCTGTTACTCGATTTATCTGGGCAGTTTCATACTAATCTGGTATCCTTATGCGCTTGGTTATAATTCTGGACAATAAACAAAAAGATTGATTGTGGGACACACCCATCTGTCCCACAGATCACAGATTGGCCCCAGACTTGTATGTGCTTCACTTTACTGTGAATTATTGCAGCTTTGAGTCATTATGTATGTTACGGCGGTCTGTGAATAATTTTAGTTTTAATGGCTTTAAGCATTTCATGTGTTTGTGTGTAAGTGTATGCACATGCTAGCGACTACAATCCATTCACTTTACACATGCACTCGAGAGCTCCCTCATGAGGAGACCACATTGACAAAAATAACTAACTGGCTAAATAACTGAATACTTGTACATAGTGACATAGTGGTGTAACTGATCACAAATCTTACAGTTCGGATCACACTATGGTTTTTGAGACACGGATCAGATCATTTTTTGGATCAGCAAAAAAGGGAGGAGACGAACGTTATTTGCTTTCCATTTATACAAAAAAATTACTGCAAAAAACAGTGGTTTAACAAACAGAACTTAGAACCTGTAATTGTATTAAAAGTAAAAATCAAGAAATAACCAGCTGAAAATAAGGAAAATATTCTATACGAAAAGTTATCTTTGCTACTGTTACTGATAATGCTAAATATAGAAAAATAACACCTTGTACAACATATCATATTTATTTTCAATTAATGATTCAACAATTCACACCTAAAACTTCATATCATTTTTGAAAACCTGTTTAGTGACATAATTTTGATGTTTTTTTTTTTTTTTGTCACCACCCTTTGGTGCACAATGTAATTGCTCGAACATTCACCATGAAGTTCCAATAAACAGTGAATTTAGGCCCAATCCCAATTCTATTTTTGTACCTCTACCCTTCCTCTTGATCCTTGAAACAGAGTGTGAAGAGGAAGGGCTACAAAATGTACCCCTAAGAAATGTTACACCACTACAGCAACTGCACACGTCATCATATGTCATTGCGATTTCTTACTTCATATGAGATTGACGATGGAGACTGCTGTCGTAACTGTGAACACCCACCCCTTTACGTGAACACGCAAAACAAAGTAAGGGGAAGTGCTAAGGGGTAAAATCTGGATTGGGCCTTAATCGTACCATAAACATCAGTGTGTATATCTGAACTATAAACAAATGCAGATTTGAATGCAGTGCTTCAAAGCATTTATAAACATATGCAAATCCTTTTCATTTATCATTCATGTTGTGCGGGTTTGAAATGAGATCAAGATTTTTTTATGTTTAATTGTGAAGCTTTAGACTGATTTCATTAATATAGGCTAAACAAACAGTGACAGGAAACACCTTTAGTGACGACCCAGGCTCATTCTGAAAATGTAGTTTTGCGTACATTTCTGTAAATTGCGAATTATGTAGCCGGATTATGTAGAATCCAAAAAATGAAGTGAACAAGGTCTTACCAGGGTGAGAATGTGGTAAAATCCAAAAACGTGGTAAAAATCAGACATGGGCTTTTCTTTTTCTGGACTGCTTTTGTAAATTGTTGGTTGGGTTTAGGGAAGTAAGCGGGTGGGCGGGTCAATCTGTAAAATTAGTTGGGTTCAGGGAAGGTGGTGGGTCAGCCAAATGGCCACTCGCCCAGTCAATCATTCAGCCAGTCTGACAGACGACAGCAGCTTCTGGTGGGTTTATGCGAGAACAGTGTGGGCGCAAACGGCACTCGCGAGAGACATTTGAGATTGAAAAAAGCCCACACAACGGCCTATCACGGATTCGCAAGAACAAAACCTGTATAAATACGTGCCTCCGAACTGTGGGTTGTAATCTGTTAGACCCCTACTTTTGACATCTGCATAACGCCTTAACACTACCCATGAGTTTGTGGCAGCACCACTTCAAATATTTAAAAAAAGTAAATTAACATAAACGTTTAATATATTTGTTGCAGGAAAATCATTCCATAAACAGTGATTCATTCAAGCTGTCAACTTTACAGAATTTTAATTCCTTTTCTAGCAATTCAGTTCCCTGTTTTATCTTCTAAAATTCCATGCAATTTTAGCTATCAGACAGTCTAGCTCAGTTCTGTGGAAAATTCCATTTGCCTGGCAAACAGTTTAAAATGAAAAACAAACACACACACACACAAACACACACACGCACACGCACACACGCACACACGCACACACACACACACACACACACACACACACACACACACACACACACACACACACACACACACACACACACACACACACACACATTTGTATTGGTAAATGCTGTTTTATCTTTAATACATGGGGTTAACATTTTCTCTCTATTTCCACCCCACCCCAGGTGCTGGTAACCCTAAGTGTGAGATTGCCATAGTTATGTGCAGGAGCAAGGCAATGGACTCAAATAATAAAAGGTATTGTATCTCTTGTCATTTTTATCAGCAGCACTTTATCAGGTTAAAATGAGCATGCAAATTCGTCTAAGCTAACTCAGCTTAGGTAACTTTTAAAAAAGAAATTATTCAAGTCCTGTATCTGTGTTAGGTAGACTTAAATTCCGAAAAAGCTTTGATTAGAGCAGTTTTTCAGAATTTATTTATTACTGGTATTGGCAGATTTGGTATGTGATCTGTGGTCAGTGTTGAGATCTGCTTTGACTGCATTTTTTCACTGAGCTGACTTTAAACAGCACAGTCAGTTCAGTTTTGGCACTCCACTGTACTGCAGACAGGCTGTGATCACAAACACAGTAATTTTCCCATCACTGAGTTGCAGCTGGAAGGACATCTGCGTAAAACATATGCTAGAGTAATTGGCGGTTCATTCCACTATAGTGACCCCCGATAAACAGTAAAGTCTAGATCGGATACGCAGCCGACCGGAAGTGCGATATCTACATTAATTATAGTAGCATTTTTTATGACACCGTATAACAATAATTAATATTTTTACAGTACTGTGACGGTTGGGTTTTGGGTTCGGGTGGGGGTATTTAATAAAATACAATAAATGATGAATTTAATAAATAATATAAATAAGTTCTCATTAACTTTCGACCGCAACCATATCCGATCTAGCAATGACCTTGATAAACCAGGGACTAAGCTGAAGGAAAATAAATGAATGAAATGCAGTAACATCAAGATAAATAACTGTTTTCTCTCTTTTAATATGCATTTAGCAGATATTGCTCATCCCTGATCCATTTTAGTTTGTGCAAATTTGCTATAATAATAGCAATAATATAAGTATACAATAAATGCAACAAAAACTTTATTCTACGTATTTATTTATTTCAGAATATTTCAAACTTTATACCTAAATACTTTTTAAAAAAATAATTAGACATGATCATTCTTTTGTTTTACATACTGTAAACAAACTTCTCTCTTTATTTCCAGTAATATGCAAGTTACTTCTAAACATGTAATATGTTTTCACATGACATCATTGATGACAGGAAGGGATTCTTCTACAAAGGAATCGCTAATAGATATGCAGAACAGCTTTTATAGACTTCCAAAAGTTTTTCCTCATTAAGGGGGCAAAGTTCAAAAAACTGGCTGAAAAATAGAAACAAAGGCGGCGTGTAATAAACATTCATGTTCAATACATCTATATGTACAATTGTTTTAGACCATTATAACAGCTCTTTTGACAGCACCAATAGAGATTATATACATGCCTAGCTATGTGTATAAATATGTTTGTGTTATATAAAAATTAGATGCAAACACTACCACAAATGCAATAAATACTGTAACTTTAGTGTAAACTGTGGTGCATTGTGATGATGTATAATTATAGCATAGATTATTGGATACTTTTACTAGTTTTTTTACTATTATATACTACTATATAATTACTACGACAGTTTATTTCAAGTAATAATCTATAGTATGCTTTCAAACACTGTAGTAGTTACTATATTTAGTATTTTTTCATGTAACGTAACAGCTTAAACAGTATACCATCTCAATGACAGGCCAATATATTTTAGTTCAGTAGAAAACTCGACCCTCTTCATTATATAAGGATCATACCCAACTTATGTGGTTATTTTCTATTTATATCTCCTATAAATTCCTCCATGTCTCCCATTCAGTTTTTTACTTTCTGCGCATCAGCAGAACCACGTGATTGAAAACAACCAATAGTTTACGGATTACTTGATTCTGTTATTTAAAAACAATACTGTTTCATATTGCCTTTGAGTTACTTTCACTACAATAACTACAGAAGTAAAACTTAAAAGCAAAATACATTTGATTTTTTTTTCCAAACACAAGAACTGTTATTTATTGTTTAATTGTTTAATTACATTATCCCAAATTATTGTGTACTTAGTCAAACAGCTAAATCTGTTTATTATTATTATTATTATTATTATTATTAAACATTTTTATGTATACATATTTATTTGAAATATTTATTTATAAATTAAAATTTTATTTATTTAAAAATATTTATGCATTTAACATTATATTGAAAATAGTTTGATTAATGACCAGAGCCCCTTGGCTAAACCAACTGATATATAGATATGTCAGTCTCTCACCATCCCACTTTAATTAAGATACTTAAGATTGAAACATATCACTCTTGAATAAACATTCAGGGGATACCTAGACATAGTCAAATAATAAGAGTTCATTTCATGGAAATGGCATACTGTGAGCCTCAGACACTTTTTTTTCCTTGTTTCCATGTAAGTTCCACGAGTGTAAAACCTACGTGAAAATGGGCCTATCGGAAAAAAAAACAGACTGTTGCATGACTCATCCTCAAGATTTATATGTACTTTAGGTCACTTTTTCACGTCATCTGGACGCGATGAGCTGCCAAGTTATCAGGAGATCAGCAGCAATAACACAGACTGATTTTGCTCTAGGAACAGGGCTGGACTTGGACAAAAAAAAAGCCCTGAACATCATCTAGAGCAGCCCACCATGCAATCACATGTCTAATTTGCTATTTTTTGGAGATGCACTCTCCATCGGCGTAATGGATGTTATATTGTACAAACTGCATTTTATATCACACTAAACTTAAACCTACCCCTCACAGAAAACTACTGGTTTCTTTACATTCTTTGAAAAAATCATTCTGTATGATTTACACACCTGTTTACTCACGAGGATCTCTAGGTCCCCACAGTGAAATAATTGGTGTTCATTCATGTTTTAGGCCCCACCGGAATAAAAACAGGCACACATATAAATATACATGCACAGACAAAGAATTGGACTATGTGCATCTGTACAGTATGTATTAGTTCATTAGGAATTTTGTTATATGGCTGATTAGAATCTAAATACAGTTTATATAATATAAAGCCAAGTAACCAACCAATAATCAAAACAATAAATTGGAAAATGTTAAAGGTTTTATTAGGCTTTATTGTAAAAAAAAAAGTTATAAATTATTATTAATATTTTTAATATTAATTTATACAAATTGCTTTGGACCTGTTGTGAGATTATTACTTTAATTATAATACAGAATTTAAATACAACAATGCTGATTGAGTAAAATGTTTTCAATAACAATTATACTTAAAATATTAAACTAAATAAACTGCCACTAGGTGATGCCAAATTACAGATTTTTATCACCGAATCATTAATTCAATTGCTTCATTTTGTATGGCTAATTCATTTAAAAGTGAAACAAGTAACTGTCTTTACAAATGGGTAGTTGAATCACTGACTCACTAAATTAATTTATGAATGTTTATTCATAATTCACGTTCATTTAAAAAAGCAACAAAATTAAGGTTGTCAAAATTAGCATTAACGCACGCTATTAATTTGAAATATTTAACGCGTTAAACAAAATAACACAAAATAACCCAGTTGCAGTTTTTTTTTTTATTTCCTGTTGTGGTCGACGTGTGTTTAACATGCAAAGAAATATGGATAAGACCAAGTAAGTGCTTTTACATGGAAAGTTTCAGTATAAAACAATTAATGTCGCATCCCCAGGCTATCCAGCGTTTCCTCCAGAGTATCATGCAATTTCGGTTGTTTAATTTTAATCTTTAGACTAAAATTTTATTATCTTAATCATAAAATCAGGTGTCCATGTAAATGTACTCAGTGAAAGTGCCAGAGTATGTCGCAAGCTTCAAAAACAGCCCATTCCTCTGCCTTTAAGTTGATTCCATGCACCCTCAAATGTTTCATTAAGTTTGACGTGTTTCCCCCTACATGCAACTTTTGTAAAGCAACTGCTGTACCTTGCTTTGTCAAAATCTTGTAAAATACAGCCATACTTTAGAACGTTTAGTATAAGCAAATTTTATAAATGCCATCGTGCGTGTTGATGAATCGCTGAGGAGGATGAAGAGTTGCTCACCAGTTGCGCTGGACTGCGCGCGTTGTGTGTGTATGTGTGTGTATGTGTGCGTGAGTGCATTTCCTAGCAACAAGAGCAAACGCCTGACATCGCTGACTGTGTTCAGAGAGAACAACAACAAAATCGAGAATCCTTCAACTTTATGCAAAATGAAGAGCAGCTTTCTTGAGCAACAGCCAATAGGAGCTAATAGGAGCATCAGCTCACGTGATCCTCTCTCAGCTCTTTTAGAGGCTAGTTGTATTCTCCGTGATGTAGACCTACACAGACCTGCGTTTGCAACAGGTCACCACCCAGAGTGACAGGCAGTTACAAATTTGCTGCTTGTGTGATGCATACTGTACATTGTAAAATCATTGCTGAACATCTATTTTGTGCAGTCTTAATACCGGATAAGCATTTCTTTTTATATACAAATGTAATATTATTTAGGTTCAGATTGCTTAAAACAAAGAAAGACAATTCTAAGTATGTATACCAATGCGAGGTTGTATCTAAATGCAGATAGGGACATCAACAAGAGGCTTGGGTCAGGTCACCCGTAGGCAATTAAGAGCTGGTCTTAGACCTGTAGAACTATTATTACTTTAAAAACTTATTATTACTTTAAGACCTTCTTATTACTCTGAATTACTTTAAAAAGAATAACCATAAAAATAGCTAAATCAGTTTTGACACTTTAGAAAGTATTAACTCATAGAATTAATGATAAAAACAGTGCTTCCCAGTCGTCAAACTCAGTAGTTCCACTCAAAAAGTCTCCAACACCTATGACCTGGTTTCGTGGCTCCTGAAAATAAAGTTAAAGTAGACAGACAAAGAGAGGAATAAGGACACTAAACATTCTTACATAGCTGTGTGTTAATTTTATTCATTAGTCCGAATAATTGCAAAGTTAAATACTGGTTTAAATAATCATATTAATAAAATAATGAGAAAAAGGATAATAAGAAAAGGATTAACGTTAATCTTTGACTGGACGGATTTGAAGACAGAAATCTGTATCCATCAATATGTGGATAAGACGTCTTAATCGTTATTCAATGTCAGAACTAGC